TTGTTTTTTCCTTGTTTATTTTTAAACCTGCCACACACCCAAAGTTCTCAATGTCCTTCATCAAATTCGGTCCTGAAAGTAAGGGGTCTTCCACGATAAAGACCATGTCATCCGTGAATGCCTGTACTTTATATTGTTCTTTTTTTATGGTCAAGCCCCTAATTTCCTGGTTTGATCTTATCCGATTTAAAAGGACCTCTAGTGACATAATAAATAGTAGTGGGGAGAGTGGGCACCCTTGTCTAACACCCTTTCCAATTTGTATCCTCTCCGTTTATTATATATTATTATATTTTATTGTATTTTATTTTATTGTATTATATTATATTATATTATATTTCTTTATTATATTATATATTTATTATATTATATTATATTTATTTATTATATTTTATATTTATTATATTATATTATATATTTATTATATTTATTATATTATATTAGCTTAAACCTCTTTCTTTTCTTATAGCAACTGCAGCGCCCCCAACTACAACTCAAACAGCAACCAAGGAAGGATCAGGTAAAACCCCAAAGTATTGATGATGGAAAGTAATTATTTAGACTAGCTTTTGCATTTCTATAAGAGGTCACTTTTGTTTTTTTGTTCTGAAATAATTTTCTCTAAATTCTCTGAAATATGAGAGATAGAAGAGAGGGAGGAATATTATGAATTATTCAGGAATCCTTTTTTAAATATTTCTGGCCAATTTCATACTAATGTATTTCAAAATTTCTTGTACAGTTCTATACTTCAAAATATATGTGCAATATTGTACTTAAAGTCCTGAAATATTTTTGGAATCGCTGTGAAAGATAATAAATTAACAAACTACATAATTCAGTCACCTTCAAATGAATTTTAATACCCTGTTTCCCTGAAAATACAACCTACCCTGAAAGTAAGTCCTAGCTTGATTTTACATGTGCATCCAATATAAGCCCTACCTCAAAAATAAGCCCTAATTAAGACCCCCACCCACTCCAGGGTATAAGGGGAAAAAATTAAGCTGGAGTGGGGAATGGAGCTACCCTACTACTTACCTGCGAACAGTTGCAGTCAGGCCTCGCACACCCGGCCTCGCACACCCGACACCTACCTTGCTGGCCCATTTCTTCTGCAGCTGGCAAGGGCGATAAGGCTTTCCTAAAGGCCTCTGCAACCGATAACAGAGCTCTGGATCAATCCATAGCTCTGTTATTGGCTGCAGAGACTTTCAGGAAAGGCCTGCCGGCTGCAGAAGAAGTTCCTGAAGGCCTCTGACAACGAATAGGAGGCAGGGGCGATACATGCAAGTGTCATCCCCCCTCAAAATAAGACCTAGTTCCTTTTTTGGTGGCAAAAAAATATATAAGACAGGATCTTATTTTCGGGAAAACACTGTAATTCAGTAATTCAAATTCAGACACCTTCTTTTAGAACATCAATATCTTACCCTTTTTTAGGTGTGTGTGTGTGTGTGTGTGTGTGTGTGTGTGTGTGCATGCAAAAGTGGGAAAGATGTTGAAGTTCTAAATGAAACTAAATCTATCAGAACAGTATTGATGAATGAAAATATAGACAATAGAAGGATACGGCAAGTAGTGAAATGTATTGGCATAATTAGCTTAATCATTTTAATTATCATATTTTATCTTTTTTATTTATTTTGCTTTATATTTTTTACTTTTTATGTGCTTTGAGTAAATTTGTTTACCCAAAAAGGGAATAACATGGATTTACTGTTCATGTATATTAAAATAGTGGAAAACTAAAGAAATGTTTTCTTTCACTTTTACTAAATATGTTCAAGTTTTTGATCACGTTACTTCTTTGGATTCTCTTATCTTTTAGGATCTGGCACCGCTATTGGAATTGCTATAGGTAAGTTCTTACAGACTGAATTACTGTGGTTGCATTTAATGTTTGACAGAATTGAACACAGACTATTTAGTACACAATTCCTCTCTTTTTGTCTTTAGAAGGGGTAATGACTCCCACCCCTTCTTATAAGGCAAGATCTTTTTCTGCCGTCACAATTTTTCCCATGCTTTGGCTATTTTTAAATATTTTGTTTCCTGTGTTTGTTAGTTAAACTCATGGGAGAGTATTTCAACTTGAAAAATTATTTTGGTTACACAATGGTTTTTTTTTTCTTTCTCTTTATGTCCGAGTCATTTTTATAGCTGGAATCTCTTTAAAGACAGAAAAAAAAAATGGTTGTTCCAGAAATCAGTCATTCCAAGAGGAAACCTGTTTTTGTCATCCCTCTCTCCCTCCTCCCCCCCCCTTCAAAAAGGGAACAAGTCCAGGTTCATATTAAGCTTATTATTTAAGGTATCTTTTTTCAGATGAATACTCTATTACCTCAATTCTCATGGATCACAGGGGGCTGCAAATATTAAAATAGCAAAATACACCTTTTTAAGATTTCATAAATATATAGCAAATATTAGCATATAAGAAAATTATACCATTTACATATATTCATATGCACGCATATGCATATGCACACATGCATACACACACATGTGTCTATACAGTAATCAATTTCCAAAGTCCTTCTGGAAAAATCAGTTTTTATTATTTTTGAAAACGTTAAGTTGCAAGCCATTTTTGATTGGGGACAAGCTGTCCCTCAGTGAATGGCCACTGAAAATATCTCTTATTGACATATCTTCCATTGCAACTGCTGTTTGGTAGGGATCTTCCATGGATACTGACTCCATATCCAAGAGGGATGGGCAGGAACAATTTGGGAAAAGTGCAATGGGCAGGAACAATAAAAGGAAAGTAATTTGTTAGCTACCCAGCCCCACACCATAGAGGGTCTTAAAGAAACTGAAACTTTTATTTACTCTAGGAAACACATTGGCACAGAATAGAAGTTCACACTTTTTCTTTTCTCTGCTTCTGTCATCAATATTAACAGTAATAATTTACTATTTATGATGATGGGCTAGCTTAAGCCTTTTCCGGTTTTATTATAAATGTAGCACATACCTTATTATTGAATTAAATTGGATACCAGGAAAGTGAGAAAATATTAAAGGTACAATCCTTGACACTACCTTTATTTATCTATTTCTGGTTTGGTTTATTCTTGTGCAGTGTGACTGTTTGCCACTCATTGGTGTAATTAGTTTTGGTTTTTTTGCCATTTATCAATACCTTCGTTGCATTTGACATTTTTTTCTATGAAGATTCTTATCAGGGTTCCAAGTAACAGCCTGAATGAAATCAAAGCCCCGAGGCTTCCTCAAAGTATAGATTTATTAGGCATATCATATTGGCATGGCTGGTGAAAACTCGACTCTTGAGTTTCTCTGGGTTTTCCCCACCCAACTAAAAACCCAAAGTTCTTCCCCCCATTACACACAACCATCACGTGCCCCAATCATGTCACAATCCCAAACCTGGATAACTCCCATCCACGCCCCACCAGATGCTGGCGAGTGTCCTTGATTCCCAGAAGGAAGAATGTTATTTTGGCTACATAGTTCCCCAGCTATCTCTACTCCACCACCACCCCCTTTCCCCATTCCAAGATGGCTTCAAGGTTGACAATTCTCTTGAATGTTAAACTTCAGATTCTGTTCAGAATATGTACAAGCATAAAGCAGCAGCTATATACAACTAAAGCAACTTCGTCTGATTCCAGGAATGCTTAGCAGAATCTGAAGCTTCCTTTCTGCAGTCACATGAACTCAGATTTTTTAAAAATGTAGAAGTTTAATTAATCTCATATGCATGCTGCAAATGTGCTTCCGTGTATTCCGAAACATCTTTTTAAAGCAATTCAAATCTCTATTTTTTTTCTGCAGTCAGATGTTTTTACATACATAAGGGAATGCACCAAATGTCAGTCCCCCAAAGGCCAATCAGAATATATTTCATTTATTTATTTTCAGAGAAAATGTTACTAAGTGTTCAAAGGTAATGCAGCAAATAAGGAAATGTTGAAAAAAATGGCCACTCATTCAAACACGTAATGTAATTTCTATACGAAATTGTCTGTGGTTCCTGACTTTTGGTATCCGCTGTATATACAATGTGACGTGGGCAAGGTGGTCTGAAACATACTTTGAAAGTATTGGCATGAGTGTGTATGTGATGATTGGTATAATTTTGAATTTGAAGTTATCACATTTTTTTCCCTTCAAGGAGCTGTCATTGCCGTTTTAGTTCTGGCTGGTTTAATTTTTGCAGCTGTGAAATACTGTTTCCGGGGGTGAGTCAGCCCAAGATATGCTGTCTCTGATTCTTTCTAGCTTCTTCGTAGCTGCATGAGCAGCCATCTCTAACTTGCCAGTTCCGTCTGTAAAAACTATAATTTTCTTATAAATGTGCTTTGTGTCCAGAAGGTTTGTGTGCTTGAACAATTGCAAAGATCTGCAGCACAGGAGGAAGAAGAAGAAAACATTATAGTTTGTCTAGAATGGCTAATCTGAATTTAATCACATCTCCAGCACTGGTGTTCTGGAGTGACAGAGCTGATCTGTCTCTATTTCTGTTCGCTACTTGTTTAATTGCAGACTTGGCAATGTTTGTTGAAAAAAGGAAGAGTATTCATATTGCCCTGGTCTGCTAATATCAGAAATTTTTGTCTTTGACTTCCTGGTACCCTAATGGAATGGAATCATGGGAATGGTTCTATGCGAAATTTGTGTTGTCCTTTAGGAACAGCTTTTGGTCTACTTGCAACTTTGGCATCTTTCTAGACAGATTACAATGGAAATTTTGTCTTGTATGTTGCTTGCTTTCTGTCTCTATGCAGGAGTATTGTTTTTGGTAGAGCATTATTAACTTTATTTTCCGATCATTCATATCTAGTTATAGGATGTTATAAGCACTAATTTAGATTTGTTCATAAATTGATTTTCAAATCAGTTTTCTTAACCACAGGTACTTTGAGCAGTAATGCTTTAATCACTCTCATTACATGTGCTCATTTTTACTTTTAAAGAATATATAGATGTACTCTTTTAATAGAGTATTAATATATATTTTTGAGAGTTAGTAGACTTAACACTTGTGCAAATTATAGGAAGCTGTAATGTGATGCTTTGCAAAAATGACTGAACTTTCTATTTTCTAGCATTTATGAAATACTGTCTTATTGCTTAAGATTAATAAATCCTCGATCTTTCCTTCTTGAATCTGTTCATTTTTCTAATTTCTAATTGAATATTATCTGTCTTCCCATATATGTCTTTTAGGCCACAACAGGCTAATTAAGTCTTTATTTTACTAAAATATTCTTTAAATAACCAATTTTCTGTTTTCAGATTTTCTATTAGCATCATGCAATTTGCTATGTTGTTTTGCAGGGGAGGCGGTCTTCATATATGAAGATGAGTGAACTGATTTAAACATGCACCCAGGAAATGCCTGTTTTCTCAATTGATTTGATTTTGCTTTCTTTGCCTTCTTCCCTTTTTTATAAAATTAACTCATGTACATTGTACAGTTTGATTCCTGATCAAATGCTTTGAATAACTTGAAGCCAAAAACATCCTTCTAATAATGTATATTTTAAAACAGCTCTTATTCCAGAGACTTACAGCTCCCCACTTTCTCCCTCCCTTCCCCTTCTTGAGCGCCTCAGACTTCATTTAGGAAATTATTCCTTTTGCTTTAATTAACTGTAACATTAAAAGTGCTGAAATGTTGTTTATTTTTAGGTTTTATGTTTTAGCTGCAGGATAACATGAAAAACCATTCTTCAATCAAATTTATATCATCCACTGAAGGCTGGAAATATATATCTTATTTATTGTTATAGTAAATAGCAGTGATTTTATATTGCTAAATATACTCCTATGTTGTGACTCAGCAGAAGCTTGCTGTGAGTTGCGTCGGGATGCAGGAATAATGAGCAGCTGTTGCTCATTAGGGTCTTCTCCTGCAGATAAAAGACGGATGGTGCCACGCCTTAGTTGCAGAAGTCAACGTCATTCATTGTTCGTCGTTCATGGTTCATCGTTCATTTGTTCGTGAGTTCAGTTTCGAGATTCAAAGAGGCACTTGGATAAGTGATTTGCTTTCTGTAAACCTGATTCAAAGAGGCACTTGGATAAGTGATTTGCTTTCTGTAAACCTGTAAGAGCTCTTTGTTTTTGCTTTTGCTGTGTAACTT